AAATGACTTTGCCATTGATTAGCTATTCTTATTGAAGAAAGTGACCCAAACTTTCATCTTTTAATTTTTACCTCATATTGTCTACAAGTATTTATCATTATTCTAAGCTGAAAAAAAGATACTTTCCATGGCGAATTTAGCTGAATAAAGCTAAGAAACGTCTGCATGCAAAAACGGTTTATTGTGGATGATGACTTTGGAAATAAAATTTATTTGTTGTAATGTTTAAGTGATATTACTGAAAGGTTAAAAAGAGGTGCAAAAACGAAAATGATTTTCAAAATTTTTCTTTGCTTCCTCGGTTATGTATTTATTCTTCAGTTGAAAACAAGTTTTTTTATATTGCGCAGTTGCACTCAGTGTTACTAGATTTTCCTTTGAGCTCTCTCTTAAAACTTCTGCCCAAGATTTTTTATGATACGCCTTAACTCAGCTGGATAACAAAAATTATGAATCGTTTCAGCAACAATTCACANTTTCTGTAGCTTTTCTGTAAAACTGAGAAAGAAAATTTGCTTCTTTATTCGTTAACGATCAATGGAAACTAAGCAGAAACAAAGGTAAAAGAGTCTTAAAGTTCACCTAAAGTTAAAATACTAACATGTTCGTAAGAAGTCTTGGAGCTAGTATGGTTTGGATTGCTGAAAAGATGTTTACGTTTTGCTCGGCGAAATCCAGAAAACATGTTTTTAGCGAAGACGACTGTCATGCTTCTTTAAACTCATATTTATTTACAAACATTGGCTGGTCATTACGGCTTCTTGAGAAGACCTGGCAGCAGTTGTTCTTGTGAGTAAGAAATTTATGTCTTCTTGTGTAATTTGTGTTGTTATTGCGAGAGAAATCTTCCTGCTTCAGTCGGATTGTCCGGAGATAACAACAGTGCATAACAAATTTAAAAACAACAATAAAAACGGAAATTTAACCTCTTAATGTTGTTGATGATCTGTTGGTGTCTGTTCTGTTCCCAGTGAATGTCTTTCGGCCAAAATTTGCTGCAGCTGGTCTTCCGACAAATTTGCGAAACGCGCAACATGCGAGTTTTTTAAATTCGGCTCTATTTTTGCTGCTTTTTGGATCAGGACCTAAAAGGTCAATGCCGATAGAAAAATCGGGCAGTTCTTTGCTGGTTTCTTCCATATTTTAAAGAGAAGGAAAAGTGCACTGCAGCTTAAAAGACGACAACTCTGCAGCCAGGTAAAAAAATATGCTTACCTCATCTTATTTACGCACGGGCGTGCGTAAATAAAGATTTTGTTCATAGCGGCTCAATAGGACTTATATAGGGCAAGCACGCGCGCTATGTTATAACAAGTTTTTTTATATTGCGCAGTTGCACTCAGTGTCACTAGATTTTCCTTTGAGCTCTCTCTTAAAACTTCTGCCCAAGATTTTTTATGATACGCCTTAACTCAGCTGGATAACAAAAATTATGAATCGTTTCAGCAACAATTCACACCAATCTGTTATCTTTGAATAGAGATTCTGCCTGCTACCTGAGGTTTTCACGAAGATAAATAGCTTGGCCGCTTATAATTAACATTATAAAGGGTTCAATGTAAAGAGCCCTTTATTATTAAAGAAAAAATGAAACCGTTAATTAATTATCTCAAATTAAACTCATTTTGCGATTATGAACCTTCCGCTTCTAAAAAATGTCAAAACTTTTTAAGGCTAATTCTCGAAAGAAAGTTCGAAAAAACCTATTAACCTATTTAAAAACATTTCTTGAACAGACTAATATCGGCATTTGAAGTTTATTACAATGATTGGAAGCAGATTCAAAATTACCGAGTTGCATGCATGAATGTATTTTAATAATGAAAGTATTTGCCATTTGTCCGTTATTCAAACAAAGATCAGGGACACCCAACGTCAATTTTCGGAAAATATCTCTTCGGAAGACGATTTGAGATCTAGAACTTTCGGAACATTTGTTGTAAAATTTCTTGCTTGCCTACCTCTCCTAGGATTTTGGAACATCTAAAAAATGGTATAGTTGTCCATTTTTAACGGATTTTTACCCTAAAAAGGTCACCTAGAATTTTCGGGAGCCTTTTTTTCTGGCTGAAATTTTCGAAAAGTTAAGTTTTGATCCCTTCGGATCACTAGACTTTCAGCTAGGAAATCTGAACAGATAAAACATTTTTAGGGGATAAAAATATGCCTATATCTACCGTTTAAATACTAAAATACGTTTAACAATGCTACGTTTAAGTGGTTTTGAGCTATATTCTCGTTGGGTGCCCCTGAAAGATTAATTGCAAAATCGTCCATCTTCACAATCTTGTATTTTCATTTTGGAATATTGCTTCTGCCTCGTATTTGAGGATTTTTCTAACTGAAGGGTCTTCTTCTCATAGAACAAATTAAACGAAATTTGAATGTAAAATTAAAAGACACTTATTTATGTGAAAATCATGTGATAGAGGTATGGAAAGCTCTCCAGAAGACCAAACGAGTTTAGAAAGAGACTTCAAAGAAAATGCGGGGGGTTGGTTTTTACCTTTTTCCCATAACTCTAAAGCTTCGCATGAGCACTCTGAAAAAAAAATGATAAAGGTTATATCTTATCTAAGGTTAGCAAAGTAAAAAATGAAAAGGAAAAAGAAGAAGAGTATTCCACGACTTCCCAAAAGCCACCTCTTTTGGGAATGAATTTATTTCACACTCTCGTAAGACGAATTTTAATGACCAGAACTGAGTTTGTAAAGAGAATTCTTTCGGGCTAATGAAGTGCCAACACTTTGTTAGGAACAGAGCAGTTGAGTTCATTCATTTTGCCGAATCTCAAAATCAGAAAAATTAGGATTTTTTTTACATTTGATATAAAACCAATTGTATACAACAAATAGGACCATTATTTCAAAGGTTGGAGCATGGAATTTCTCTACGGAGAAGTTAGACTTACATAACTATGTAGCAATGTCTAAATCTGAAGATTTAAAATAAATGTAGAAAGTATGGAAGGATTAAGCTAGTTGCGCCGTCATAATTTACATATCTTGAATTTAGAATTTCAAACCCAAGCGCCATTTTTCACCGCCTTCGCGGAAAAACTTTTGTAACAAGTTCGCATAAAAAACCTCTGTCACCTAGAGAGCGGTAGACTTTTTTTTCTTTTTTTTTTCCTTCAGCTGCAAAGCATTTAGATATAAGGATATCAAAGAACATACAGTACATGGGTCTTTTATTTAAATGCTCCCACTTCAGGATTTCTTCTATTCCAACATAGCCGAGTGACGGACTGATTAAAATACCTTCAACAAAGTCTGATTTCTACTCTTTTGAAAGCCGACTCGAGATTTCAATGTTGATTCTTGCGCTAGTTCTCAAGAGCTAACATTCACGCAAATGAAGGAGCCTTTACAAAAACCAGTTAAGCTTTATTCAATACTAGTACTGCGCTGTTAGTTAACAAACATTTAATGGCAGCTGACTCTAAGTTTTTTGGACATGTTTAATGTTTTTGTGATAGCCATTATTTTTGTAATTCTTCTCAGTACATTTATAGCCAATGATTTCGTAAAAAAAAAAAACGCCTTGTCTTCAGTATATTTTTATTGGCACAAAAACGCCCAGAAAATTCATTCAAATGCTAAAAAGTCGCCGAAGTAAACAATTCTGGTATAGAAGGCAAAACTCCGTGAACGAACCAAACAATGTACTTTTAGCTTTTCTTGATCTATGCCGCCTTTTGTTGCCAACTCCTCCCTCCAGCCGACAGTATACTAGGTGAGAGCTTTTCGAGTTTTGCCAAAGGTAAGATCGATGTCGTTTTAACTCTGTTACAGTTAATTAACACACATTAGAGAAACTCTATTTTTCAAGTCTTTTTGAACAAACACCTGCAACGTATTAATATATTGGAAAACAGAAGTTAACGGTTTAGAGCCATATAAACATCCAATACACGTTTCAGTACTTTAACGCGCAATGTTGAATATTGCCGGGGTGAACGTGATTTGAAATATTTTCTGGGTCACCCACTGTTACATACTGCTTAGCTTTATGATGGTGAAAGTTTACTTTTTTCCAGTTCATTGTTATGTAAAGCCGCCGAGTTTGTTGTAAGCCTTAACTGAAACACGAAATGAATAATTTATTTGCGCAAAAGATATTAATGAGCTTTCATAAATACTGTTAAATAGGCACTCAAGGGTTACAGGTACAATATTTTAAGACGTGACATTTTTGTTTTTTTTTTCATGAACGCTTTATGGCTGATCACAATTCTAGAATTAAAAGTGAGTCAGTCTTGCGTTGTATTATTTCAAAAGATCTTCGGTGTTTTAGCACAATAACAGGCTCATTTGTTTTGTATAGTGTCGCTTAGCGCCGCGGCATAAATGAGAACTATTGTTTCAAAGCTGGATTACATAAATTATGAAAGAATGGAAAAAGCCTTCACAGACTGCTTAATAAGAAACCAGGTGCATAGAAAAGTCAGTGAGCAATTTTTTGGTCAGGGCAATTCTTATTCTTTAATCTGCCAGTGCCGTCAAACCACCGTGAAGCAGGACTTTTTATTTCCGCCCTTTAGTTCTTAACGCGCGCTGACGAAACAGCTGATTTTCCCCCAACTCAAAATGAACAAGTTGTTACACACACGTTCACCACTTGAACCTGCATTAAACATTAATTAATAACAAAAACGGCCTTTGTTTGAAGCTAAGGATAAAAGCGTGGCTTTATATTCTTAGAACCTAAGTTACAGGAAGGTGCTTGTCTTCTAAACATCTTTCGAACGCTGGCGAGGCGGGGAGGATTCAAGAAAGGGCTCAGCTGATTGCAGTAAATTTGTATAAGAAGATTGATCTCTTGCAGCGAGAAAGAAAAGCAACTTTCACGGATTTTGTTTGACCACAACATTTAAAAGGAGTGATTAAGTACTTGCCATCTGAAAAGAAGAGCAGCCAGTTACTCGAGAGGAAAAATACCGAGTAGCTGCGATCAGACTCGAATTTCCCCCTGTTAAAACCACTGTAACGAACTGAAGCATGTCTGCTTTGGAACCGCACGTCAAACGGCCAATGAACGCGTTCATGATTTGGTCAAGCCGTAAGAGACGGGAATTGGCACGTCAACATCCCAAACTACATAATTCCCAAATAAGCAAGATTCTCGGTTCAGAATGGCGTAAACTCACAGAGGAAGAGAAGCAGAGGTTTTTTGCGCAAGCGAAGCTCTTGAGCGAGTTGCACTTGATCGAGCATCCAGATTACAAATATCGACCGAAACGCCGCGTTAAGAAAAAGCATCTAAAGATTCAGCCAGAAAATGCAAGTGATGGCTGCAACGAGGTCAGACCCAGCTTCTGTGGTGAACGCTGTTCATGTTCGCCACAAATAACTGATCCACCCATCCTCCAAGAAGACGATCATTGCGCTCAAATGCCAACCGAAAATGAAACTACCAAAGAGGACAATGATTTTATCAAGAGGGAGCAACCCGACAATTTTCTTGCAACGGAAGGCAATTTTACAAAGACCCATACGGCACTTTCAGAATTCGGACGGTATAGCAATTCTTTGCAACAAAAACCCGTAAACAGGTCCTCCTCACGAAAACCTGGATGCAGAGCCTTCGGTACACTCATGTCCCAAGGCGACACATTTAAGGACAGCCTACATTTCCGTGAAGATAGCTTGTCAAGGTTACCATCAATTCCGCTTTACTATCCATCAACCCTCCTCGCAGGGAATTATAATCAATCCCAGTGCCATGTCTTGCGAAATTATTTCCCAAGTGAAAGAGATGTACCTAGCCCATTTTTACCGCATTATTCCGCTGCAGGGTGCATTTGCTGTCAGCCAGAAAGCATGACGAGCCATAGGGACTTCTTAGGTCATGAGACATGGCAATACCCGTCATCAAATCTACGTACAGGTCAGTACTACTACGGATGCAAATGGTGAACTGATTTCACAAAAGCAGTAAGCGCAGAAAATACTGAGAGACAAACTTTGTTTGTCATAAGGAACATCACCAAAAGGAAGTTAAGACTTGAGAATCGATTTTTCGCGAGCACGGAATCACGTGACTAAATGTTACGTTAACTCTAACACAGTTATAAACGTATATCGATGGTAGGAACGTTTGAATTACACTAAGGTTGGCTTAGAGGGTTTTCTTAAAGATGGTTTATAAAATACATTTGTACATATTCAATTAGAAAACAAACGTTTCCAACAATAAAATATAGGCATAGCATGTGCAATTTAACGACAATGCATTCTTCATAAAAACCGCTGTGGATAAACAAATATAATCGGAATATTGGAAATGATATATATTTCACGAAAAATCCCAATCCATCTAGTCGCTCATCGACAATCACTAAATGATTTGACCTTCTTAGAGCTATCGGCGCTAAATTTGTTCACCAGTCGAATGAAGAGTTTGTCACCCTGCGCGCCATCTAATGGCACGAGCCCATCACGCTCAAATCATTTTAAAGTTCCACAATTTATACATAGCAGTTTTCACGATAGCTAATGTCTCAATCGTTGGGCAACTGTTTTGTCATATTAATTTAAGAAGCTATCTTCTCTTTCGTTTGACAAAATTGCTGATGAGTCATTTTGAAAGACGAGATGTGAAAGCGTAAAAATTCGACAATGTCATAAGAGGCAAAGAAACGATGAAACATTTTCGTGCGGCTCAGCGATAGAAGAATTAAAGCTGTCTTATTGTTTTTAGGGAAAGTGTTTTAAAAATGCATTACCGTGGTGTAAAAACGCTTCTTACCACAATATCGGTTGATTTATGTCTGTTCTATTGTTTTTCAATTGTAGTTGACATAATAGAGGATCAAACATAACATGAAAAAAATAACCCAAGGGGAAGTAGAGACATTTCAATTTCTTCTTAATTGGAAAATAAAAATAACAAATGCTCTTTGCCATAATATTTCTAACTTTTTTATGGTTGTGAAATGAAACGTGTAGAAAGAAAAAAAAAGACACCATTATGACGACATCATAATGGGATTTTATGGCAAGGCGTTGTTTAGATAATGGCTTGCAGGCTCAGGCAGCNATAACAAATGCTCTTTGCCATAATATTTCTAACTTTTTTATGGTTGTGAAATGAAACGTGTAGAAAGAAAAAAAAAGACACCATTATGACGACATCATAATGGGATTTTATGGCAAGGCGTTGTTTAGATAATGGCTTGCAGGCTCAGGCAGCGGGCTATAAGCGTATCTTATTTTCAGCCAGTCAGAATCTAGGGCGTTCCGGACGATACTAGTTTTGAGCGCGCTTTACCAAGCGCTCGCCACTTTTATCTTTGCTATTATTCAATGGCTGAGCCGCGTGTTTTAGTTCTTGGAGATTCTTTTATTCACCGTTTGCGCCATTTTCTATCCCGTGTTCCCACAGTGTTAGCGTTGATTTTAAGTTATCACACCGTGCCTTTATGAAATGGCACGGAGTCAGTGGCTGTACGCTTTCTAGAACGCTTGAACTCGACTTGAATGTTATCGAGTCCTTTCACCCGAATATCGTTATAATGTAGTTGGGTTTCAATGATTTAAGAGCTAGACTTCGACCCTTTACATGTTGGCTCAGCCATTGATGACTTTGTTAGGCTCTTACACGATACCTTTGGAGTTAAGGTTGTCCGCGTGTGCCAGACCATCATGCGCCAGGGCGCAGTAGTTATTAATCATAAGGCCTAGCTGTTAACGAAATACCCTCAGGTAGTTTTAGAGTCGATACCGTATGCTATTTTGGGGGGCCAAAGGGGATTTTGGCGCCAATCTCAGAACGTTTACGCATGTGCACGTGATGGTGTGCATCTCAATTCCTTGGGTCAGGAAAAATACTATCGTAGTCTTAGAGATGCTATCCTAGGGTCCTTGAGCCTGTTCACCACCATTTCCTCTTGTTGAGTTTTCAACGTTTCATTTTAATATTTCCTAATTGGGCCTTTTAAATGGACAGGTTCACGGTACAGCGCATGCTCATGTATCAAAATGCTGTTTTTCTGCCGCAACATGCTGTATCGTCTATGCAAGCAAAATGTTGTCAAAGAACCAATCTGCACACTCCCCTGGCAGTCACTTGCACTGGATCAACTGAAATATTTGCAAATAGCTGTAAATTAATCAACCATGGAATAAAACTTTCGGGTCAACTATAAATTAAATTCAACGTTGGTAGTGTTGGCATAATCCACTGATTTTTTCTACGATTTTATTACTCCTCCATCCTACTTCAAGTTACTCTGAAATACACTTCAACTTTGAAACACACTCTGAGGTCCCTGAGATAGATGTGAGCGGGATTATTAACCGATAGAATTGATAATAAATTGAAAAAAAGGAATTTAATTAATGAGAATGCGCTTAACCGTGAACCTGTCCCTTTAAAGTTTCCGTGCGTGCCTTGCCATGCCTTTGTTTATTCTTGGTGACAGCCGTTTATTTTACTGACTTGCCGCCTTTATATTAATTGGACGCATTCTATTGTGGCTGCACTCATTATTATTACAGTTCTACAGAATTGATGTTTGCCTTTTGAGCATCTGTTTGTATCTGCTGGCGTTGGCCTTATTTTTTCTTTGTGCCCTGGTGAATATTCTGAGTGTGCAATCCTATTCGACCGCCCTTATTTGGGTGTGTCCCCAATGTACTTTGATATTCTTTTACCAGGCAGCTATGTCGTTTTTTGCTACATGGCTCGCCATTTGGTTTTCAGTGGAGTTCGGCTATTCGTCAACATGTGCGTGGCTTAGCTACATTACCTATTGTTAAGAAAACAACAAAAAAGTTTAAATTTAAATTTAAATAATAAAAATAATCATGATAAAATACCATAAAACAAACGAAAAATAAACATCCCGGCTCAGACCTTCAGACCTTTTGTATGGTAATGAAATGAAACATGTAGAACGCCCCCCCCCCACCAAAAAAAAAACTTTGAAGTATCTTTTTTCCCAAAACTGATAGGTCATTTTGAATCTATTGTTCCACACCAACACAACTCCACAACGGCTATTGTCCCGAGGCAATATTTCAACAAGCAACTAATAAAATTAAAAGAAAGCACTTTTCGTGGGTGATGGCTTCTAGTCTTGAAATAATGAAGTTCTAGCCTTTAAGGCGTTTAGGGAAATTTTTTGGTAAAAGAATTTTGTCCGAGTGAAGTCAAGGAGAGTGTTGCTATAGGCGAATCTTTGTTTAGTACATTTTTATGCTTCATTAACAGATGCTTAATCAACATTATCTGATGGATCTAATGAAATAAAATCTCTGGACATTCAAGATAACAATTTCAGTTATCTCTGAAATTGATAAACCGTATGGTTCGGAGAAATTCTTTTTCAAAAGCTCGAAATTTTACGAGGAATGTAAGGCTCAAATTTTTTTTTACCACCCAGCAATTTCACAGTTTTTGGTGGCTGCAAGAACCATCCTTCAATATTGCTTGCAAAGAGCTGAAAATTGCACAAATTGCCCAAGTTAATCAGCTCTTTCAATTTTTGAATTTAGTTCGAATATACGGCTAAAGCTTCTATGAAAACTGTAAATAATGACGTCAGCAAAGAAAAGGATTCCTAAACGGCCTAGACGAATGAATGGATGGTTGTTATGAGGCCCTGGTAAAATATATGAATTATGAAACTACAACTTCTCTTTCTAGAAATGTGCACGGCAAAAGGGTTTGGATCTTGGGTTCACAAAAACCCCTCCCCACACCTATACGGGAAACATCTTCTAACGGCAGGGCTCGTCCCAGACTCCCTGATTTCACTTTCGTTTCTTTTCCCTTGAAATGATTTGGGATTGCTTTCCTTGCATCAAGAACTTACTATTATAAGTCTGAGAGCTTATAACATTACTTAATGTATAATAAAAGGTGTTAACTCGGCACTTTTCAGTTATTTAAAACAAATCAAGCTTGCACTGACTGTGAACGTGGTGGAATCGAAGGAAATTGAAAGAAATGATCGACAGGAAGTACGCAGTGTAGACAGCGCCTCGAATCTTCGATTCTATTCTTGAACTAAGGTAAGCTTATTCTTGGTTTGTAACCACGTGAAAAGGCGGCCATGTTAATACAATTTAATTTTTTCTCGAAGAATTTACATGAAAATAGAGTTAGTTCCCAGAGGAAAGCAATGCTTTTGTTCTTGACCATCAACATGGCGTCCTTGCCTTCACGTGTTGTTTTATCCTTTTCTTTCGTCCTATAAACAGCACTCCCGTATATAAAAACAAGTTACATTAGAACTTGCTAGCATCAGGCTTTAATATGTGTTGTGAACAGGTCAATGTCGCATGTTTCACATTGAAGAAATCAAAGGAAATAATTTAAAACGTCATATTGGGCTATTGCATTTATGCACATGTCATTGGCTTGCCCCGGAGATAGACCTCCTGGCCAACCAGGGGGATGGTAAAATGGATGGAGTAAAGTTGAGGATTTCCCCCAGGGTTGGGGTAATCTGAGAGACAAAGTCCCCTGAGTCAAGTGCTTCTCAACGAAAAAAATAATATTTATTGGGATCCACGTGATGGATAGCCTCCCCGCAGACGTCCGTTGGGGTTCGTTTGTTGTCACGCAGAAATGAATGCGTGACAACAAACGAACCCCAACGGACGTCTGCGGGGAGGCTACGTGATGGAGGGAGCATTTTTATGACATTTGGGGATGAAATTTTACCCATTCATGTTAGGCTTGGAGAAGCAACATAAAATCTTTATTGAATGAAAATCACTATGGTGAAAGAACACCTGAAGACAGATTCCCGAGGTTAGGAGAGACTGATTATCAGATGGGCTGCTGGGCGGTAGGCCCATATCTTTTAGAAGCCTTCATTGGAGGATGGGGGTGTGTAGAGTGTGCAATCTCTTATATTTGGCTTAAAGACGGATAATTGTGCCACTGAACAGGGTGTGGTTTTCAGGGTCTTAAACGGGGTATACAATTTCACTGTTTGGTATCTTCAACATGGTGTGTTTCTGGACCTGAAGCCTTTAAAGAGTGTGAAGGCTGCAGATGGGCTGTCTACATTTGTGGCACCCAAAATGAGTGCCAAAACATTTGTTCTATGATATTTGTTTCTAGAAATTCCCTGATTATGCTTGCAAAATGAAATAAGTTAGGGTCATTAAATAGGGTCTCTTCTGTTAAAAAAACTCCACTTGCTTGTCGGGCAAGTTAAGAACAGAATTCACTAACCCAATAGCAAAATCCACTGGTCCCGGGTTAGTGGACACGACTTTCTTTGCACGCTGCAAATGAGCAATGTGTGTCTTAAACAGGGTAAGGTTTTAAAGGCTTTGGCGGCACACCTCTATAATTATACCCAAACTTGTATAGACTGCATGTACCACGGTAGTGATAAACGTGTTCAACTTTTGCATTGATTTTTATATAAACTTGACGTTTTGTTTGCTTGTCAGCATATATATTATATTTTCAACATTAGTGATTGCTACAATTTTTGGACAACTACAATACAATGAAATCTTGACTTTTTTAACCTTAAGTTTGCAAGGGAAATGGAATTACTTGGTTCGAAATATTGGAGTTGAAAAATTGACAGTGGCATTTAACATTGAATGATACCTGATTATGGTGCAAGGAGGCTGAATGAAGACCACAACAGTCTTAACACTCTTACACTTCAATGTATGTACTGTCTTTATTTACAAACAAAATGTATATGTTCTGTAAATTAGCAAAACAACTACCAGTACTAGATAGATAACACTTTTGCACAGACTTTACAGCATATACATGTACAGCATTTTCTTCCATTTACTGTACCATTAATTTTTTAAAAAGCCCAAAGCGAGAAAAAGAAAAGAGTTGTCATTCACTCAGCTAAAACAATGTAGGAAATCAATTCTTTCCTCTATTTAACTCAGAAACTCTTCTTTAAGATATCTGAAATAATTCTTGATCTGCGTTTGAGTGTGAAACACGACTCAGGTGACTGGTGATGAAGCGCAAGGGAAAAATAATATGATAATGAGGTCTTTATTATGTTTTAAACAAAAAATACATGCTAAAAAGTATTGCTACTTTATACTATTTAAAAAAAGCCAATTAGTAAAGATATTTTTAAAAGGCTGGGTATTAAACGTAGAGAGTTGGCTGCTAGGAACTCAGAGGCACACAGAACTTTCTTTTTGTTCTAGGAAAGGGAAGCTGGTTACAAAGGATGGCTGGGCATGCCAGAGATCCTCTTGAATAGTGGGCAGTCTGCCTCTTTTAAGACATCATATATGTTAATTTGATAAGATATGAATTCGCATTTAACCCTATTTAGACGTGGTGGGTTTTGAGGAGGGAGGGGTGGGGAGGGTGTTGGCCCACTCTATAACTTTAAAACCACTCATTTTGCGGACACCAAAATTTCACAGAATAATTTACTCATCATTTCTAACATTGACACAATTCCATTATTGACACAATTCCATTATATGATGTCATTATGACATCATATTGTTGAATTTTTGGGCAGAATCCAAATTGCATCAATTTTCCCCTTCAAAGTGAAAATTACTTAAATAATAAGATGTCAGATAAAATGGAGAAGTTGGTTAAAACATTAGTGACCTTTAACAATAGCAGTGACCTCATGATTATGTCAATTATGGTCAAAGAAGGATCTGGAACCATCCGCCATCTTGGATCTGCCTTTTTGAATTTTCAAAAGGTATTCAATTTTACTTAAAACAGGTAGAAGTTGAGGTAATCGTTATAGAAAAAATGTACCAGAATAACCGCTCTTTATGCCAATGTTTGCTCTGTTAAGAGTATAACAGACACTCCTGTATGTTTGCAGTTTGCAGGTCACTTACTTGTTGTTGAGAGTCGTGACCCATTTGCGGTTAGTTTGCACCACAAAGGCGTCACCTGTACAATCAAGTCGCCAGCTGCAAAATCAACCAAAATAGTGGGTTCAATAAAACTATAAATTAACCCGTTTTTGTACAAAAAAAGCAAAAACATGGCTGTCAAAACTTGCCATGGTAACGTCAATGCTGACATTTCCATGGCAACAACCTTAAAATGTCTCCAGACAAATTTTTAGGAAAAGTTGCTAAGTTTGTTGGTCATAGCTGAAACGGTTTTGAAGTTATTCAACTTTTTAGCAAGGGGGACCTTAAAAGCCCCCAAAATGCCCCTCCCCCCGCCCCGGCCCCTGGTCTGAATAGGGTTAAAGCAGCGCTGTATAAAATTCTTGACTGTTCTTAACTCAGTTGTAGAGGACACATATATAGGGGGACCTTAAGTTAGTTTTGGTAAAACTTATTGATCTAAAATGTAATCTACATCTGCTTGTTGGTATAATCCCTCGTTACAACTATCAGTCCAGAATTTTTTGTAGTTGTCAACAAATTGTAAGAATCACCATTGAAAATATTATATGCTGACTAGAAAACAAAATGCCAAGGTATATAAAAGTGCAGAAGTTAAAAAGTTAATTCTTGCTTCTAGGACCATATAGTTTAAAGATAAATAGCAATGTCTTTATCATTAGCTCTGCAAATAGTTTTGGGGGTGTGGGTTAAAACACCAGTCTGGAGTTATTGTTGTATTACTGTTCAACTATTATTATTATTATTATTATTATTATTATTATACTAATCATAACTGTAACAAAATTCTCAAATCTGATTGGCCATCAACTGTCCTGATTTCAGCCTTAATAGGACAGTTTAATAGGACAGTACACTTCATGCCTAAGTAATTGGACAATACGCACCATCGCGCACACTTAAATGGCTTTTTTTCACTGCTAGCAAAAAAACTTGGAATTTCTTGTGTTTTGATGAAAAAAAGAGCCTTTTTTTCACAAATTTTGTTAAAGTTATGATTAATTTGGTAACAGAACTTCGTGTCATCCAATTCGGTCTGTAATCATACTCGTGATTAAACAAATCGGACTCCCACTACGTGGTCATCCGATTTTGTTAATCACTCGTATGATTACAAACCGAATTAGACTCCACTCAGTCCTGTTACCATTACTTATTATAATATTATTATTATTATTGTTATTATTAATAATTATTAGTATTATTATTGTTATTATATATATTTCTATATTGTCTTCAACTTAAGGACCTTTAAATCTAGACACAACCCCATCAATATACATGCAGTTACGTAATGATAGTGACCTTCAGTTGTGTGCAAGGCATGGGTGATGGGTGTTTACTGTCAAGGCTATACAGGTCCTTCTATTCATAACACTTGTAATGATATGTGAAAGTAAAACACTTAAAAATAATATATTCCTGGAGATGCAATGCACATGCATATGTGCACAAGGGTATTGAAGGGCTATAAATGCCGTGTTAGGGCAGAACACACCTGTTTTGCTTTAGTTTTCACCAACAAAGCAGTGAACAAGGAATCGGCCCACCCGCACACCCAAGTTAAAAAAAAAATGTAAGGGTTGTCCAACACTGCTACCCTAAGCCAAGCTTTTCCAGGAAAAAGTATATGTAGCATAGTGAAGGGAATTTGCGTGTTGATATGAGGGCTTTAAAACATTTAAGGTATTATCTTTTCTCTTTTACCTTACCAATGGCTGTTTACACAGATGATGGTCTCTGATGAAGAAAAACGATGGATTGTTGTCGGAATTGCCATGAACAAAGTTGCTGTTCCTGTTTTGCGGGATGCTGTCAAACAAGGAATAGACACCAACTATGCAGATCTGGACAAACACTGTCAACATCTATCCCCACCTTGTACTCTAAAGACATTAAATCATGGTCTGGTCCGAGCAGATGCTGTCTTTGCACGACTGAAATTTCAAAATATTAACAATAATGGAAGTTTATATGGAAAGCACTACAGTAGCTACAACTTTAACATTAGTGACTCCATAGATTTGGCAAAGTTATATCTGCCAGATTATCTGGCTCAGTTTTCAGCATTTGATGAATCACTGGATTTGACTGCCATCCTGCGGCTGTTAGGGTTTAGGAACTACACGCCTGCCACTGTGTTCTCCCCACACATCCAGGCCTCAGCTGATGATGTCAGGGAAAATGTCAGAAACAAATGGGGCCATGTTGATGTAACTGAGTGGACAGATCCCCTGTTCAATGATTGCTTTGACAAGCTAAAGGCATTGGTGAAGAGTTTAGGACTGACAGCCTGTGTAGAGAAAACAACGTTGGATCAGCTTGATGACTGGCAAACAAAAGGTTATTACACCTACACAAAATAAGATAAAAATTATTATTTTCATTGAGGGAAGACACTAAAGAAAATTTTGCTCCTGCAAATATCTAAATGTAGTAACTGTTCATCGCTAGTATGATGTAAAGTGCAGGATGGCAATTCCTCATTTGTAATTGTGGCTCCACATTTTAAAAATCCTTTACCAATAAATATTAAAAAACCGATACCAATTGCATAACATTTCAGGAGGAGCCACCCATATTGTGTGCACAGTAATATCTATTTACTAGGGGAAACAAATTTCAAAATAACCTGTACTGGAACCTCCATTCAGGGAACACCATCGGGATCAAGGAAAGTGTCCCCTGAATGGAGGTTGGGGTTGGGTTTGTTATTGTTTAACCTACAAATAATTTACTTTTCTTTTATTCTGCCTCGGAATTTGCTGTGGTCAATATTTGTAGCAGCAGGATAATGCATAAAAAATCATGTTTAACTTATCTCCGCAAAATTCTGTGTCTCAATCCCACAAGTGCAGTACATCCCCACCTGATTGATTTAAGTGAGGCGGTCCTTGTTGAAAAGTTGCCATCTTTGTGATTAGTGTACCCTTAAACTTGTCAACGATTTTTGTGGTCAGTCACTTTTTGAGTGCTAAGTTGTCCACTAAAAGGAGGTTAAACCCAGGTTTCGGGACCCAGAAAGAGTGCCCCTTTTGCCTGAATAGTGGTGTCCTTTCTATAGGGGTAACAGGTACAAAGATTATGTGAACATTTTTCAGGAACAAAATTATTTTGTGTCCGTTGAATGGAGGTGTCCCTTGAATAGAGGTTTGTCTCAAAAAGAGGTTCCACTGTATTTTGTTGTTGCACACATGCACAGTAAAAGCTTCATTTATTTTTCGTTTTTCTTTTTTACAGGTTGTCAGTTAATCTTGGGACATGCTGTGGACAGGGATCTTCTCCTTTTGGTACAAGGCGAAGTGAGAGGTCTGATCAAGGACTACAACACCTTTGAAAAAAACCTTGCCACCCTTAGAGATCAAGATAAGCGTAAAGGAACGGCTTTAGATGAACATCACAAACGCCTTGAAGCGCTGGAAGAGAAGCTACAGGAGTCATCAGAGAACAGACGTGAAGAGATTAAAAAGGTTTTAGAGAGACTTTCGTCTTTCGAAGGACAGTTATCGATACGACTTCAAGTGGTAGAAGAAAAAGTGGATCAACTAGAGCAAACTCTAACGAAGACAGATGACAGAGTAAGTCAACTTGAACAAAGTCAAACCGACGCAATTAGTAAAGTAGAACTGCTGAAGCACAGTCATACCAAGACAGCTGATGAAGTAGAACTGCTGAAGCAAAGCCACACTGAGGCGGCTGCAAAAGTGGATCAACTGGATCAAAGATGTACTAAAGTGGAGCAAATCGGACTACAAATAAAAACGCAGAATGACAAACCAGGTAAGCAAAGGTTGTGATCCCATGAGCAATATTTTTTAATCGCCCATTATTTATAGTGAATACCAGGCAAAAATATGCTTCATTGTTTGACACTTCTAAATTTAACGTGGCTATTACGGGACAGTAACTGATTCCTCGATACCTCTTCTGAAAAAGCCATGGTGAACCCAACCGCCATAGCACTACTGCACTACTTCTTACTTTTCTTTGTATTTTGGCTCTTTTTTCATAAAGAACCTTTTCAAATTTACCTCTCTGGACCATAAGAATGTGCCGGATGTGTCGCAGCATTCTGGGCGCTCGAGAAAAAAATCAAGTCAATAAGCTAAGCACTGTGTGGATCCTCTAATTGTTACCATTTATCGCGTTATCAATTAAAATGAAGTAGATAAAGAAAGCTCTTTTGAGAAAAACGTTTTCTTAATCAGGCGACATACTATGATATTACGCTACTTGCTTGTTCCCTTTTTGGTTTTTGAAACTTGCTTGTCTGCAGCTCTAAATGTGTTTCAGGTGTAAAACCACTTAAAATTGCAATGCCGCCAAATATGGAATACTGTATATTTATTTTTGTACTGTATACCTTTCTTTCTTCACGACGTTTTATGGCTTCTTCGATGCTTGATTGTTTCTGGCTTATGAATTTCAAGTCGACAAGAAGTGAAAATCATGCAGTGACTTTTGCGACGGCGGATAACAAGCCCGAAAGTGTTTGCAGTCGCTTTAAATATTGATGAGTGGTCGTTTACGAGAGAATCTTAAAACAGTATTTCACTGAGAAACAAAACGGTTTTTTAGAAAGTGGTTGATTAATAGAAGTGGTGGCTTAAAAGAGTGGTCGTTAAGAGAGATTTGCCTGTATTTTAAAGCAATTTTAACTGATGTTATCTTACAACATGATCACAAAATGCCTCGCATGGCTTCGGCTGCTGTCTCTGCTTTCTTTTCATCTACTTCTTTTGATCTACCTTCGTTCTTGACGACTTCCTAGCTCTTACTCTAAACTGTAGTAGGCTGCCTGAAACGCGTGCCCCTTTTTATTTCGACGACTACGTGGTGTATAAATCGTTGAGATACTTGAGAGACCTTGAGAGACAAGGAAGATGACCTCCTAGACTTAATGGTGTGTAGTCATTTTTTTTATTTTTTTTTTTTAAATTTGGTAGGTTTTTATTCATACCGAGTAAGTTGGGGTAGATTGGAAGGGCAAACGTATGAATTCCAATAAAATCACGCACTCCTATGCCTCTTTGTGCTTAAAAAAAAAATAAAAAAATAAAACAATCGTGTCTGTGGTCTTTCTTTTTCTTTCTCTTTTTTTTTGTTTGTTTCCTTTTTTGCTTTTCTCTTTTTTTTTCGTCTTCTTCGTTGTTTTTTTCTCGTTGTGATATTTGGGGGATCTTGAGGGACAAGGGTGCTTTCCTTCTTGATTTAATGGTGTTTAGTCTTTTTTTTTTTTTTTTTTTTTCATATTTAGTAGGTTTTTCATCATACCGAGTAAGTCGGGGTCAAAACCTTAGTGACGTTCTTCGTCAGATCTCAGTTGCTTTTGAATCAGTTTTTCACGTTATTTGGTAGTTCAACTGCATAGATCACTGTTGTCAGTCTTAGATACTAAGTTCTATCACTGATGGAATTTCTTTCTCTATCAGAAGCATCATCTATGAAAACTTTCGACCTGAAATATTGTCGAAGCAAGCTAGAGGATCACTACCAAAAGACAGCAACTGTGCCTACCTCAGTTTGGTGTAAGAAATCCGTTGTCGATATTCACCAGATCTACACTCGTCTTTCCTGGGTGAAAGAGAAACATACCCCTGCTGGAACAACACAGTCTGAGCTGAAGCATTACAGTGACCTGCTCACTGTAGACAAGAACGGCGCCATTCCAAAGAGAATACTCGTGCAAGGGCAGACGGGAATTGGAAAAAGTACGTTTGTGAAAAAGCTGCTTGTAGACTGGGTTGAAGTAAATAAGGAAACTGGTGATGAGCAAACTTCTGTCCTGAAGAATTTTGAACTTGTGGTTGCTGTTAACCTCAAGGAAGTGTCCAAATGTCAAAGCCTTGAAGACGTCATAAGAATGTCCAATGTGTTTGCAAAGGAGGACAAATATATGACAGATGGCCTAATTGATTACATCACTAATAACCAGGAGAAAGTACTTCTAATTTTTGACGGCTACGACGAATACCGCAGTGGATGCAGCTCAGAAATATACGAGATTTTTCGTGGAAGCAGCCTGAGAAGCTGCTGTGTATTGATAACAACTCGTATTTCAAAAGCTGACGAGCTACGAGGATTGGAAGATCTACACGCTGAAATAACGGGATTCAGTGAAGTTGATAGAGGAGACTTTATGCGTAGGTTTCTTGCTGACGATGAAGCGTCCGCCTTATATCGTCATTTGCGTGATAGGAACCTGCAAGAATTGACGAAAGTCCCTCTACTTCTCCTTTTTTTCTGTACCCTGTGGAAAACGGGACAGTCAAAGGTCTTTCCAAAATCTAAAACTGAATTGTATACGTACATCACCCAGTTCATTATAAATCACAGCCATATCAAGCGATCTCCACCTCACTACGTTAACTTACAATCTTCCAAAGAGATCCTCTCAGAAATAGGAAAAGTTGCTTTACAAGGTCTTCTGAACGATGATCATTTGTTTGAATACAGTCAGTTGTCCGATGCTGTCCTTTGTGACGAGAGCGTCTTTATGGGTTTGCTTCAAATCACCGAATACACAGAAACCTTGCAACCAGTTGGAATGGTCTCCTTCATTCACAAGAGCATACAGGAGTTCCTAGCCGCTTGGTACATCATCTACAAATGTATACCTGAGGGCGGAAGTGTTGGTGAAATCGGAGTGAAGTTAGAGGATTGCTTGGCTTTAAAGAATGTATTTCAGTTTATGTGCGGCCTGAGTGAAGATGGAGCATCGATGGTTTTCACGCATTTAAAGTCTGTCAGAATCTCAGATCCTTCGCTGGATTTATCCAAGGCAATCCCGGACGTAGAAAAAGAAACCGACGTGCCACTGAGTGACGTCACTGACCGTCAGCGGAATTTCAACGATCTGGTTTTGAATTCATTTGAAGAGGTTAAATCAAAAGCTGAACTTTCGGAAACTTGTTTGGATTGTCTCGGGAGCATCTTTCTTCTTCCTTCAAATTACATGAAATCATTTCCTGAAGACCTTCTTTTAAAGCTAAGGGATGCAAACACTTTGTCTTTTATTTCTGAATATAGAGATTTATATTCAGAACTATATGGAAGGAGCCCGGGAGCAGGCATTCGACTTCTTAGGATGATTGATCTCACTAAGCTGCAGGTTGCTGAAAGTTTTGAAAGAGAAAAATTAAGAAATTTTCTAATAGATTTTCTAAATATTAATCATTATTGTTTTTGTAGGTTTTTCGCAGTCATTTGTATCCGTAATGGCCAGGTCTACTTTTACATCAAACACTTGAAAATGACCTGTGATCTCCACGCCAGGCTAATCACTGACAAAGTTGTTCATTCTCACGCAGCTCATTCAAGTTTAAGACAGCCATGTCTGAAATACCTGAAAACTCTAAATTGTTTCAAAAGTGATGATTCAATGGAATTCCCTTTTATTGAAAAATGTAAAGACCCCCTTTTTCCACTCTACGATGACCCTTTTAAACGCATGAAGCGTTCATTCAGTGATAAAGCTTTGTGTCCTTTCTTGGAGCAAGTACCAAATCCTTCCAGGTGCACTTTGTCTATCAAGCGTTGTGACTTAACATCAAAAGGAGCAGTAAAGCTTGCATCTTTGCTACCAACGTTTGAAAACGTCACTAATCTTGATCTTAGCCTTGCCGTTTGCTCTGCAAAGTCAGTAACAATATTGGTTACCGCCATTAAGCACAAGACTCTCGTGGATCTTATACTGAGTGAAATCCACCTGACCTCAGCAGTAGTCGACGCGCTTGGTCAGTCACTGCCTGAATTATCAACATTACGAACACTGAGAATAAGTGGGATGAATGTATGTTTTAATGAAGCAGCAACAAGATTGTGTGCTGCTATCAAGCACAAGTCTCTTGAGGTACTAGAACTGAGTGAAATCAACATGCAATCAGCAGCAGCCGAGGTACTTGGTCAGTCGCTACCTAAATTATCAGCCTTACAAGCACTGAAGATAAGTGGCTTGGCTAAATTTTCTGTTGAAAAAGTAACATTCATTCTGATGTCAGCAGTAGCCAAGGTGCTCGGTCAGTCACCTGAATTGTCAGCATTAAAAGAACTGAGGATAAGTAGCTTGGATGGAAGCAGATTGAAAGTACGGTTTGTAGAATGCATTTTGCAGCCTGAGCCGTTTCAAACGTTGGAGATAGGTGGCTTGAGTGAATGTTTTGCTAAAGCAGTAACAAGATTATTTACAGCTTTCAAGGACAAGACTCTCAAGAAACTGAAACTGAGTAAAATCATGCTAACGTCAGCAGTAGCGGAGGCGCTTGGACAGTCGCTGCCTGAATTTTCAGCCGTAGATTCACTGGAGATAAGTGGCTCGGATGGATGCAGTTTAGAAGATAAGGAAATGGAGGCGTTGTTTGGCAGATTTAACAGACCCTCTCCTTTGGTTTCTCTCGTAATTGATCATTTCAGCCTAAGAGGAAGTCTTTCTGTACTCGCCAAAAACCTGCACTTCTTCCCCCGCTTGAAATATTTAGACCTTTCTGTAACCGTGGATGAAGCTGACCTTTTTGGTCTTCTCGAGAATATGAAATTGCTTCCTGAACTGGAACATCTGATCCTGAAGGACAGTGCACTGCGCCACTCAATAAGATCACTGGTCCCACAGATACTGAAACTGAAAAATCTTGAAATGCTGTTTTTAAAAACAGACGAGGATTTTTCAAGAGAAGAGCTGTGTTATGTCCAAGAGGCCTTCGAAGGAAAACTCAGTCACCTGAGAATTGAAGTAGCAAATTGTGGTAAGGCGAGTCAACACTCATGGATATCACGTTATCTCTTTAAGCCTCAATATCCATAGACAACTTCTCTAGTCTGATCTCCATACCTTTTGTCAAATAATTAGTTTAGAGAATTTGTTAGCAGATCAAAGGATTTTCCCTTCGGTGATCACTTTATTAAATCTCATACCTAATCACTTGATTATGTATTTATATTGTTAAGAGAAAATTGATGTTAGTCAATATCACTTATTGCAACTTAAAGAGTTAACTCTTTTGAAACTGTATACATGGAAAGTGCAGGCGTACGGTATTTACGCAGAGTTGTTGACGTATCAGAAATCGAACAAGTCAGCGCAGCGAGCGAGTGAGACTGTCTGATACAAAACAACGAGTGCGTAAATACTGTACAAAACCCTTCCATGTGATTATATTTCTGTCTGGATTTGCGAAAATGAAGATGATGTGATGATGCGCACATCATCTTAATCATCACGGGTTAAGATAAACTCAACAAATTGGCCTGCTCCCAATGTATGGGTCTTCATAGCTCAGTTGGCAGAGCATTACAGTGCTAACGCAGAGGCCATTGGTTCGAATGCTGTTGAAGTCCCGAATTTTTTTTTCGTGTTTTTTTTCTTTTTGCAATTGCTTAAATTGCAATTACCACTGCGACGATCATACCTTCAATTAAATTTTTATTTCCGCAGTTCGCATCATCTTCTTTCTATATTATTATTATTATTATTGTTATTATTATTATTATTTTTGTCATGTTGCTGGGCATTTACACACTTGAATTCTAGCTGATACAATTTAGGTACCCTATCTAAGGATTACACCGGGAGCATACTGCCAACAAGGGAAAGTATGAAACCCCATTTAAGGATCGAGACCCGTGATTAAAAGCCATACTCTGTCGGCCGGTAAGTGCCTTTCTACCCCATATATGGTAGTATCCCCGGAATAGTTGACACTAGAGCTGCCCCTCCCCCTGGATATTGAGAGAAGGGGATATTATTTGAGATAGACCATAAGAGTAAGCTAAATGATAGGTGTTATTACAGTGAAATTCGTTGTATCGCGCTGCGCGTATCCCAAACTTCGAAGGGATTTTGGGTTTTTCTGTTCCGTCAATCATTTTGGTGAAGGCGGGGTTCATGCAAATCACAATGCAACGTGCTCGCCTAGCTTGACTGAGAATGACTCTAGACTGCTCAAGAAAAGCGAAGGAAATCGCGATGGTGAGTGGATTTTTTTGTCGTGGGAAGGAGGCAGACGTTGCTTCTTTCTTGCAACTGGCAAAAATAAGAAATATCAGAAAAATCTGCGAAGCAGACTTAACTAGTTCCCGAAACAGTACGATCTCAAAGCAATGAACCTTGAAACACGAAACAAACAAAACGGATCGAAATCCACTAATCACGAATCACAAACCATGACCTTTTGAACTCGTGCAAGTAAACATGTGGTTCCTAAGAGGTCCGCTAAAATGATTGACGGAACAGAAAAACCCAAAATTCCTTCGAAGTTTGCAAAACGCACAGGGGGATACGACGAATTTCGCTATAAAATGACCAGTTCGTACGCGCTGCAATTTTATAGTTTGATATAGTTTTACTTTACTTTTTTACAGCAGAAGAAGATTTACAGAAAAAGGATCTTCCCCATGGTATTAAAATAGGATTCGGATACGAACCCCGTCAGAAGCCTTTTGGTGGAACGCCCACTGTGACGCTAAGTTACTACATGTGGTTCTCCAGCCACCGTGCTCAGAGGCAGTAGTTATTCTGAAGAACTTTTTTTTTACTGTAATGAACTGGATTAGCTTGGAGACAAAGCTCATGCCTCGCAAAGGTTATCTTCTAAGGCTATCGGGCTTTATCCTCTAAGATAGTCTAACACCAGAACAAGTATTCAAAAACTACAGTCATGTATTACTACTAATAGCTGATTTAGCTGCACCCTTGCTTTTGGATCAGTATTGAAAGAACGGAATGTAATAAGCAGTATTCCACAGGGGTGCGTTGAATATGATATAGTAAATAGCCAGTGAGGTGCGAGGCGCCGAGTTGGTTAAAGTCAACTCTCTGATAACGGACACCTCTCTAAGATGGACACCTAGGGTTAGTCCTAGTCGTTTTACTGTAACCATACTCTCTATAATACGGACACCTATCTAAGATGGACACCTAGGGTTGGTCCCAGTCAATTTACTGTAACCATACTCTCTATAAAATGGACACCTATCTAATATGGACACCTAGGGTTGGTCCCAGTCAATTCACTGTAACTATACTCTCTATAATACGGACATCTCTCTAACATGGACACCAAGGGTTGGTCCCAGCCAATTTACTGTAACCTTAGTCATCTTACTGTAACCATACTCTCAATAATACGGACACCTATCTAAGACGGACACCTAGGGTTAGTCCCAGTCATTTTACTGTAACCATACTCTCTATAATACAGACACCTCTCTAAGACGGACACCTAGGGTTGGTCCCAGTCAATTTACTGTAACAATACTCTCTATAATATGGACACCTATCTAAGATGGACACCTAGGGTTGGTCCCAGTCAATTTACTGATGTGAAATATATATGAAATAATTCATTTTTGAACTGCGGTTGTAGATGAAAGTGAAGAATGATCATCGCAGTAAATTTTCCAATTTAAGCAATTGGAAAGAAGAAGCTGAAAAAAAAAAATCAGGGCTTCAACGGGATTCGAACCCGTGACCTCTGCGTTACCGGTGCATTGCTCTACCAACTGGGCTATGAAGCCACGCATTGGGAGCGAGGTCTCCGGTAACGCGGAGGTCACGGGTTCGAATCCCGTTGAAGCCCTGATTTTTTTTTTTTTTTTTTT